ATTGTATTAAACAGACCACACAGGTTTCACAATTCCATTAAACACTTCTAGAAACATAATTAATGAACTCAGTACAACTGATTCCTTTTGTTTATTGTTAAGCTTTGCTTTTGTGGCTATCATTACTTAAGCTTTATCATTTTGTGGCTATTCTTTTGTTTTCAAAAAGTGGTCAGATTAGCTTTCACCTTCCTTTCAGCTGCTAAGTGCAAGGGGTGAGTTACCAGGACCCCCAGTTCACAGCTGTCCCTTTCATGACAGGTATTTAGACTCAAAAGCAAACCTGCTATTTGTCAAATGCCCATTTTTGCTCTACTGGTTTGTAGCAACAATGCATGTACATATGGCATTTCCATGCAGCAGCCTTCTTTACTGACTGAAACACTGCTGCTTATCAAATATACTATGACTACTTCATTGGCACCCCCTTATCAAATGCCACTTGGTCAAACTTCCTCTCCGCTGTCTTCTGTCACACAGCAACAAAATGGAGCGGAATACTGGTGGGAAGGTTCAGCCTCAGCACAACATCAATCTCTGATGCTGTGGGCCAACATAATAAAACAGGAGTGTGAGAATCCTTCTTTGTTTTTTGGCACAAAGCTTGCTTCCGGAGGTATTTCTTGTGATAAGACTGACTTGTCTAGGCGATGAGTGATGGGTGTTGCTGTGTGGCCATCAACATCACTGTGTGGACAATTTTTGCTGTTTGCCTCCAGAAGATAGTGCTCAGGAGTGTTTACTGGCGGAAGATCTGGCCTGTGACTAAATAACTCCAGCTTGCTATGGGAAACTGGGGGATGATGCCATTGTATCCTGTGAAGGCAAGATACAAGCTGGTGCCTCCCTGCTCCGTCTTATCTGCTGGTAAGGCCAGGAAGATAGGAACAAAGGAGTCCCCACTAAGATCCCAGAGCCAGAAGCTGCCACTCCAAGGAGAGCTGACTCAACCACTTTGGATTTGAGCTGTCACTCCAAAGACAGCTGACTCGACCACTTTGAAAGCATTGAAAAGGGGCCATCATCATCACGGTCATCGCCATCGTCGTTGTCAACAGAACAACAATGCCCGATGACCCTCTGCTATTGAAGATCAATGACTGAACTACTAACCTCGCTGGATCCATGGTGGTGACTATGTCCCTCTTGCTTCCTATAAAGACTCCTTGCTTCTTCTTACCTACCTTTTCTATCGCCCTCCTTCCCTTCCCCATTACCCTAATTCATAATAGTGTCCGTCCTCCCCTTCACCATCTCCCTAATTAACATCTGTAATAAACTGGTCGGACCAACATTTGAACCGTTGTTTCTTAATCTCACGCCGAGGATATAGATATTAAAAGAACCTCCTCTCCCTCCTATGAATCACAGCGAGACAAGGAGGTGTTACTTTTGAACTATTTCCATTGGCCTCATTTCACATACTACAAGGTCTTGTCTGACAATTTTACTTTAAAGGTAATGTATGACTGAAGAAAACAAAAACTATTTGTAGCCTTTTCTGCTGCTTGGAAAAGAATAAACTAGAGGCAGCAGAAATAGCAGATAGCTTTCTTTACAAGGCCAAGTATTAAGCTGTAAGAGATGGATGAGTATGAAGAGCCTGAGTAGCACCCAAGGAGAACTGAGCAGGGCGAGCAGGCAGGCAGCCTTTGCTCTGATGGTTGTTCTGTCCTGGAAGGTGATCCAACCCTACAAATGCATGACACCACATGACTGATGTTTCAGCTCTATGAAAACTCAGAGCAAGGCAGGCCAGGCAGAACTGTTATTAGGACAAACGGAAGCAAAACGAGGTACAAATCTGAGATTGTCCTGCACATTTCAGACAAATATCTTGTTAGCAAAGGTCTCTGCAGCCCTACGCTTGTCTGTTACAGATCACAACTGGATGAGAAAGCACTGAATTACATTACAGCACAACCACCAGACACCACGATGCACAAGACACATGTTAGTAGGTGAAGGGTACAGACACCATCAACCACAGAGGAACTGCAGGCAGAAGGGAACATAGCAGCACCGCTGGGAACAGGAGAGGAAGCAGCACCCAGCCTGCAAGGGCAGCCTCAGAAACGCTCTCGTTCAGTTTAGCAAGCACCAACCAAAAGGAGGAACTGCTGTTCTCTAATGCTCATTCAGCTGAAAAGTAGAAACACCAGTGATGTAAGCACATCATCTGAACTGAAAGACTATGCAGGCGTTATGAGCTGGCCGTGAATAAAGTCAAAGCAGAAATGAGACAAATGCGCTGAGCCAAATGAATAAATGAGATTTTGGGACAGTTTTCTTGACAGTACCGGAAGCAAGAAGCCTCAGTATTTGCAAGACAGTCAGTGATGAAGCTTTTAAGGTTGCTTACTAACACCATCAATTGCTGTGGCTGGGGAAAGATGTGAAAACTCAGGAGGTGAAGCAAAAGCATTTGCAATAGCAGACGTGCAGGCTAATGGTGCTAGATGGAGGAAGACAGACATGCAACTAACCAAAATATGCACAGCTACAGCCACAAAAGAAGATCAGTTGCATGCTAGATGCAAAGAAACACCTTCTAATTTATGTTATAATTCATATGTATTCTTGATTGTTGCGCTGTGAAAATAATTACACTATTTTTAAATTTTAATTGCTAGAAGAGAACATCTGCTATTTTTACTATAAGTTAGATTACAAAATTTTATTATAGTAAATGAAAGCAACTTTACCAGTCCCGAGTCATGCCAAAGTACTTTTCTGCAATGACATAAGTATGGAACACATCTCCAATTTTGCTTCTGGAGACACAACTGAAATCACGTTTTTACATTCCTTGTCTCATTAGATAGGTGAAAGTTGTTGAGTAACCAATACCCACCTGGACTCTAATTAATTACCATGCATTTTTTCACTCTATTAGAGCATACCTATGTTCATACAAAGTACATCAAAGATAAAAGAAGGGCTTTTAGCTAAATTCACACTTCCCTGAGCACAGGAAGAAAAACAAACCCATTCCTGAGTTGGTATCAGGAGTGGTTCAGCTGCACGTTCCTCAAGAAAAAGGCATTTCTGAACTTCTCCCCCAGTAAATTTACAATACTCTTGGCTTTACGAATCAAATGTACATCCACTGAACGTCAGGGCACCCTCTGTATAACAAGAAAACCTCCTCGGTAAACACAAACCTGAGTTCTGAGCTAAACAGAATGAATCAAGCCAAAACAGATTTAAAAAACAACCACCCAGGAGAAATATCATTAGGTGGTCACACTAGCAGGGATCACTGCAAGTGTGTCCGAAGCATCGGCTTAAACAGAAAATGCAATTTCAAGAATTTAGGTTAAAGCACTAAAAGGAAGCCTGCAAAACCCCGATAGAGACTGAATACAGCCTTCAAAGTGGTGGATAGCTGGAGTAGATAGACTATTATCTTTAAGACATCCAAAAGATTTCAACGTGACTTAAAGATATTCTGTATTTTCTAGTCTTCTCCATTTTCTGGTGACAGAAGTAAAAGTGTTACTGGCACGTGTTCATGGCATCACTGCAAACATGGAACACAAGAAGCAGATAAGTCAAAAAAGTGAAAGGCAATTTTAGAAATAAAAACAAACAAAATGCCATATTCATTGAATTTCTGCTGCCATTACTATCTGTCAATGACACCGATTTCATTACTCCTGAACAGAAGCAGGAAGCTGCAGGGCTTTTATCCTATCCTGCAGTGCCATCAGGCAGCACAGCCACGTGGGCAGCAGATGACTTAACTGCTAGGTACAGGCTTGGCAGCTGTTCTAAGTAAGGAAGTCACTAAGCATTGTCAAGCACGTAATCATTAATGAACAACAGCTTGACATATAGCCATGGACAAATATCTTTCCCTTCCTCTGAAGAAACCTTAATAAAGGGGTAGGAAGATGGAAGTTTGTCAGATAACAAGGAGAAAATAACAAAAACTGATACCTGGGGAATCTGTTCTCCCATTCTGAGTTGTCCTACTGGCTAATACCATGATTTCTGGGGCATCTTTGCCACATGGTCTGCACGCATCAGCATCAGTCATAAATCATTAGGAATTAGTACTCAAGTGAAATTCACAGCCAACCTTATTTTCATCCGAGACATCCTTTTGGATGCCTATTATCACATTACCTACTTGGTTACAAAGAACACTGCAGTGGACAGCATTGCTTTGTATTTTCAGCCTGCCCTGACAATCTTTTCCTTATGCCAGAAGGGATATAACCCTGTGCCATCCCATCATCCGGCTTTCCTCCCCATTGCTCTCCAGCACCTGCTCCTCTCACACTGCTGAACATGCTGGGGGACATCCCGGTGCCACGGAGCCTCTCCTCCCTCAGTTCTACAGTTTTTCTGCTCAAAGAGCACTTGGCAACCATTGCTGAGATTAAAGTAAGGCCTAACGGCTCACTATAATACATTATGAGCAAACAAGCTAATAGCATCCAAGCAGAGATCAAGCATCTAAAACATGAGCAGCTCACACACTTCAGCATCAAGAATAAGAGCTGTAATGACAGTACATAAAAATGGCCAAGATGAAGTTAATTTTCCCCTGTATCATCACAATCAAGCACAATATGAGGCTGGTCTGGGTGATGGAAAGGAATTAAAAACACGTGGAGAATGATTAGTACTACTAGCAAGAAAAAGCACTCCTTAATGCAAAAAAAAAAAAAAAAGAAATAAAGTCATAAAAGCAAAATCACTCTACTTTGTAACAGTATGTCCCTGTCTACCAGGAGAGTTTTCTGAAACAAAATCCAGCTGACCAACATCAACTAACTATCCCCTTAATCTTACCTGATAAATCAACACCTCTGTTAAGAAAAAGACCAAGAAGATTCAAATGCTAACATATCAAAACCTTCCTTTATTGCAAAGCCTCTTTACTGGCAAGCGTCAGACCACTTGTTCATGTAATGTCACCAGGAGTACCAAACAAACCACAGAATCGTCCCATCCCTCCCACAGCTCCATTCCCACAGCAGAAGCCTTACCTTCATCATTTTGGGCCAAGGAACTCGTTAAGATAATAGCCACAGCAATCCCTACAGCTAAGTACTTCCAGAGACAAAACTGCTGTAGCATCTTCTGTCAGACTTCACTCAAGCCAGATCTGGAAAAAAAAGATTTGATACACAATTAGTCAACCAGCTTACATAAAGGTGGCTATAAACTATTCCATTGCTAAGTGTGCATATACAGCCTGTAATAGTGCAACACTGCTTTTGTTTAACAAAGTTCATCTCATTCATACCTACAAGCGTACATTAGATAATCATGCATCCAAAGCAATAATCTTGAGTTTGCTTTACTAAGTCTAGTTTTCATAAAACAAAACCTTTATTTTATTCTTCCCGCTTCAGCCTTATGCTTGGCAGCACTGAGGGGAAGTGATGCTCTCAGAGGGGTTCTGCTTCTTACACCTGATGTTCAATCGCATGAGCGAGCCAAGACGCAGCATTCAAACACACTGCCTGGCAGAACCTCTCCTAACAAAAACATCACTGAACCCAGTTCATGACCTTCTCTAATCCTGCTTTAAGATCATGGCCCGCAAAGGAGGAAAAACAAGAAGAACACACCAAATTCCACACATATAATAAAAAAAAAAAAAAGAGGAATGCAGCGGCCAAAACAAGTCTGGATGAATCCCAGAGTGTATTTGGAGTGATTAACATTCAGAAGTTATATAAAACTTTGTGTTATTGCTCCATTAAAGAGAATTAACATATTTCTGTAGCCTAGAACTGAATTATTTAAAAATATTCCGTCACATTAAAAAACATTGTGTCAAACACAATGAACTTCCTAGCAACAGAAGCATGAAATGGGGAGGGAGTTATAGCATCATAAAAACAAGCTATTGTATAAAAAGGGCTTAAGTGCTGTCAATTTTCCCAAGCAAAACACTTGACTCAGATTTCATTGCCAGTTTCTGCTTATAGCTTCCTACCGTGGTTACAGAACCACTGCATTTCATTCCAAGTCAAACAAACACATTATTCCCCCACTTAGAGCTCTGGAGTTAACACAGCCTGATCCACCTTGGTGATACGTTACTGAAGTTGTGCTATCATACCCTTCCACAAACTGAGCTTACGGAATAACACAGCTGTACAGACGTGGCCTCATTTGTACCACAAAACATAGCTTCTGGATAGCGTTCAGCATTGCACACGCCAAAAGGAATCAGAGTTCCCACTAGCAGGTAAGTTCCATTAAGTACTGGAAAAAATTAGAATGTCTCTACGATCTGAATAGTCAGTACTCTATCAACATAGTCAACATTTTGGTAAATACAAAGGACACTACTATGATAGAAACATGCTCCTCTCCAAAAAACAACAAAACACAAAAAGATTCAAGCAAGAATGTGTCAATGTCCTGGAGGAAAAAAAAAAATGATTTATGAAAAAGGAAGCAAGCCATGATGTTCAACTAACTCAATGCAGACAGCCATATTACTGGAAGATTTTAGCCTCCCGGGTGTCCGACATCCCCACAGTTGCACAAGGGGACGCACTGGGCTCCTTTACACAGCAAGCAGAGCTCCTTTTAATCTCAGCAAAGACTCTGTAGATTAGAATCATAGAATGGTTTGGGTTGGAAGGGACCTTCAAGATCATGTAATTCCAACCCCCTGCTATAGGCAGGGACACCTCCCTTTAGACCAGGTTGCTCACACGCCATCCAGCCTGGCCTTGAATGCTTCCAGGGATGGGGCATCCACAACCTGGCTAAGCAACCTATTCCAGTGTGTCACCACCCTCATACAGAGAATTTCTTCCAAATAGCTCATCTAAATCTACCTGCTTAGCTGAGATCCCACTCTCCAATTTGGTTTTTCTCATACTCAAATACTTGTTATGCAAGGAAATTGAAGGTTTAGGCTCATAAATACATTACCAGTAACTCAGTAAGTATGGAACCGCTAGAAGAAAAGAACAAGAAATTCTCCAGAGGAAAAGAAAAACAGGGAAAAAAGAAAATTAATTCCCTGAGGAACCCGCTCAGGAGGTTTGCTCCAAATATTTTATTTTCCCAATTTTCCTATCAAAGTCACAAAAGCGCTCATAGGCAAGAAAAACTTAACACACTCAACCAGAAAAAATACCCAAATGAAAAAAAGAAAACAAACCAACAAAAACATTTGGGGGGAATTCCAATTTCTGGCACGTGCGCATTAAAAAAAGACAAAAGAGCTTCAATAAAGCTCTCTCGTGAGCGCTTGGTGCTGGATGGTGCACAGGCACTAAGAAACACACCTACACCAACGTAGTGAGACACAACAGCACGCACACGTGTCCCCATAGGACTGCTGGCAGGAGCTGATCACTGTAGGTTTTTGCAGCTCAACTGCAGCAGACTGATAACAGCACTCCAAGGAGCAATCGCGTCTCATCTCACTTCTGCTCTTTAAAAAACTATTATTTCTCACCAATGTAACTACTGAAACAGAACTCCAACTTGTCAAGTCATCTCTATCCCACATCTCAATAAGCTTTAAGGGGAGATGAAGATGAATTGAAAAAAGAAACCTCGAAATATTAAACATCAGTTACCACATCCAAGCATCTGGAATATATTTAAGAGCCAGCGATGTTAGAGTAACCTTAAATGCCTAAGATTTAAGCTAAGATAAGAACAAATGTTATTACAGTACTTAAAAACACTGTGTTCATTTCAAGCTGAAACGAGAAACATTGATTTAATTAAAATAAACAGTCCTAGGTCAGAGTAAAATAAAACATCAATGCAAATTTGCATGTTCTGGGTATGAGAATAAAACTGGAAGTTACAAGAGGATGTTAAGGGACAAAATATCAAAAGCCTCGCAGAAATCAAGGTACACAGCACCCACTGGTCTCTCCTCACTACACGACATTGGCTTTACTCCAGCCCACAGGCTGCTCTCCCATTTTCCACAACCTTTCAAAGACGACAGAGTGGCTTGTCAGTCACCTCTGCCAGCTCCCTCAGCACTCGTGGCTGCATCCCATCAGGGCCCATACGTTTGCATGCAATTAATTTGCCAAGACAGTCTCTGAACATGTTCTCCTCGATGACGTCTTCCATTCCCCAGACTCTCTTTCAGTCTAGGGTGCTGGATTCCCAAGGGGCAGTCTTAGTAGTGAAGAATGAAGCAAAGAAGGCACTCAGTAATTCCACCTTCTCGGGGCCCATTACCAGGGCACTCAACTCAATCAGCAACAGACCCACATTTCCCTAGTCTTCCTTTTGCTATTGACACAGTTAAAGAAGCCTTTCTTCTTGTCCTGGCCTTTCCTTACCAGATGTCACTCCAAGCAGGCCTTAGTCTTCCTCATGGCATCCCTGCATACCTTGACTACGTTCCTATATTCCTCCCATGTGGCCTTTTCCACATTCCATACGCTTGTTTCTTCCATTTGTGCTTTCACATGAGCTCCTTCCTCACGCATGCAGGACTGACTGCAATAAAATCATAGCCCTCTGAACACACTATTAAGTTACACAGCCAACCAGAATTCCTTCAAGTATCAACCCTTACACGTATTGTTCAGTGCTGTTGCCTAAGTAGTGTTGCCTTTTGTAAAAACATTGAATTATATCGTAAATTACTTTTAGGAATCTATGTACAGAGCAAAAATTTCAGGGGATAGTTTTATTGTGGCCTCATCTGTATTACCACTGAGCAGATAAAACGCTTTTGAAGATTGTAGACACAGAAGTAGAGTCCCTGAAGTGCGAATGCCTGTTGTGAGATGGAACAGCTACGGTCACATATCAGAATTGTCATTAGAAACAAAAAATAAACCTTCAATACCAGCCAAAAGAGGAGATAAATTTGCTTTTCAGTATGACAGCGTTTCTGGCTAGGCTGAAGCTATGGTCCACTAAAACGTGCATGCCAAATGTTTTATTTTCACTGCTGAAACAATTACGTTGAACTGTCACAACAGAAGAAAATAGAAAATATTTAAAGATGAGAACAGCCAAAAAAGCACCTCTAGTTTGTCCCAGCACCATTCTTAACCAACGGTGCTTTGGGCAGCAAGCACCCTCACCCAGCCAAGCATGGCAGAGCACCCAGCAGCTCCCTGATTTACGGTCTGTGGGTGCCCTCCTGGTCATCCCCGCATGTGGGAAAAGCATCCAGAAAGGGTTTTTGCTGTGGTGAGCTGTGTCCTGAGACTGAACTGCACGTCAGCTGGGAAACTACAGGGCTGGAAAACACCCTCAGACTTTACCAGAAAAAATAAATAATCCCAGCTTAAGACTTGAGGAACATGCCAGGAAGTCAGATATCAGCCCACGAATTCCCATGTACACTCACACCGCTTCCCAGGCAGCTGCTGAGCCCATCTCAGCATCGACTCACCATCAGTGAGAGCCAGCGCAAGAGAGCTTACCTTGGAATTCAGCCTTGTAAGCTACTTACAGCTCCAATTCTCTGAACTCCAAGTGAGAAGAACTGTGCAGAACTGTTACTAAAGCCAAACATCTGCTTGTATGCTTTTCCAAAGAAGTTAAGCACATGCAAATATTTGGCTTAACAGAGGCTATGCTGAATAATTTCAAGTGCAAATACAACTTTTTCTCCAATTCCAAATGTACCAAAAGCCAGAACATTATCACAATCTCTATTTTACTAACGCTGCTCAAGCACTTCCCATGTAAATATTTCCACCCATGGACTCCTTGGTAATACCCACCTCCTCTTACATTAGCTCTAAGATCTTCACGTTACAGAACTGGGACAAATCGTATGGGTTTTGTTACTCTCCTTTCTCACTGGATCCTTTCAAAAACATGAAGATTTTTAAGACTGAGTTTCAACACCAAGCATGTTCATAACTCATTCGTATTTCATGCGTGAAACCATTCCTCCTTACATTCAAGTACATTCCCACATTTCCCCTTGCCCATTTGCCTCGGTTTCAATTCCAGTTTATCCCTGAACTCTGGTTCTTTTGTGTTCTTCTGACAGAAATGACCATTTTTCCATGACAGCCATAGTCACACCACAGCAAAATATATCTGAGCTGAAGCAGAGCATTGGTAACGGGAAGTTACTTTCCCTCCAAATTAGCTCAGAAGTACTTGAAACTTAAGAGTGACAGCATCTCATCC